CATCAGGAGGACTTATTAGCATCTACTAAGTACCAGGGACAATACCAGGCACCTTCAAGTATGGTTCCTTAATTAATTGTCAAGGCCTATGATTTTGCTTTGCCTTTTTGTTTTTTCATTCGGTTTCTATTTCTCGAAGCTTCCTTTGTCTTCTCCAATACCAAAGAGCAGTAATCCATCACTTCTTGCTCTCAGTCTGCTGTTCACCAGGAAAGCACCCCGCTTCTAGTTGACTACTGTTGATTAGCGGTCAGGGAGATATGGGTAACTAGACTTGTTGGTTTTATTACTAAAATGTCTTCTCCTTTTGCTGTGGCCTCCCTAGGGTCATTGCCAGAGAGACAGGAGTGCTTCGAAGGGGAAGCATTTGGGGCTTCCTCTGACATTTTCCTTTGAGACAGAGGTCCCTCGCCATCCTTCCTTTTGGTTTTCCTGGCCTCTGCAGAGCTGGAGCCACTCCTAACAGTCCGGTGACACTGATCTCCTTCAGTTTGATTGCTCAGCAAATGCTGTGTGTCGGTCATGCCTGAGGGCGGCTGGTGGCTTGGGGGAAGTCACGTGGTTAAGCTGCAAGTGACCTGCCGTGGACCCTTCGTGTCTGTCAAGGGAATTAAATATTTTTGTGGTTTGGGAACAGTTGGCTTTGACCTGTTGAAGTTTATTTTGAAACCAAGGCAACATACAAGGCTGAAATCAACTGGAGCTTCCATGCTCAATTTCCCTTTAAAGCATCAGGTTCTTACAGGCTAAGCAATACAGAAAATATTTACAAAGTCATCTTCAGAGTCAGTAAACATGCATAGACATAAATGGCTCTAGATTTGGAATTATACAGGTTTCTAGGTGTACGACCTAAGGCTCACTTAAGAAAAAGAAAAAGCATTGGTAAGGTCATTGATTTTTGTCATGACCTAGAACTCTTGGCTGCATTGATCCCTGGTTTCTGGACCTATGTTGAACCCTCGCTCTTGGCTGCCTGCCCTGACTTTCTCTGAGTGCAAACTGGTGTTCATGCTGGGGGCGCTTCTTCTAGTTCCTTGGTGCTCAGCTGGGCCAAGGTCCTCAGTCCTGATTATACACAGCTCAACCTGGAAAAGTCTGTCCTCCTGGTCACTGCTGGGAGGCTCTGGAACTAGAGTCGGGGGCGGGGCACCCCTCTCTGCAGGCACCAGGCTTGGCTGAGGCAGGGATTTGCCTTAAAAATTTCTTCCTCTCCTTCAGCTTCTAACAAAGCCCTTTACATTCCCGTAGGTGTAGACTCAAGAAAAACCTAGGACGTGAAGTCAGGTGGCCAAGATTCTAAACCTGGTTGTGAGCCTTCCTAGTCAGTCCTGGGCTGTTTCCTTTAGCTGGATCTCTGTTTTCTCATGGGTTGTGATTTCTCTGTGAGGGATTTTTGGTTGCAGCAAGAGAAACTACCTCTGGCTGATTTAAGTAAAAAGAGTGTGTATTAGAAGGCTCTAAAGTGGGTTACAGATTCCAAAGTGTGCTTGGAAGAAAGGGGCCGGGGCTGGGGCAGCTTTACGGATGCAAGTCACAGGAGCCCACGGCTCCTCGTCTGTGTGTCCTGGAAGGAAGCTTCTGTCTACTGTGTTTTCCATCTTGAGGTTCTGTGCTCAGAATTCAGGGTCTGAGGGAAAGGAACTGCATCCCACACCACTGCCCGGTGCAGGAGAGGAAAGGAAATGAGGCTTCTGACCAGCAGAAAGGGGAGAGTGTCCAACAACCAAATGGCCACTGCAAACGTCCCAAACTGCAAACCGCACAAGGGTTTTGACACGATACACTTTGTCAGATTTTGTCCATGTTCCTCGTGAACTGGAAGGGCATGGATTTTTTTCTCTCTTATAATTAGATTAAGCATTTGTTAGAGGCATTCATTGGTTTCATCCTACTAACATCTATTGAATGCCTATTAGGAAATTCTTCTTTCTTGTTTTGAAATTAGGAAAGACCATCTGATACAGAGGAGAGAGTTCTAGGCAAGAGTTAGGAGACTTGGGCTTAAGTTCTGACTCTTCCACTGCCCTGTGTCCCCATCTGTAAGACTGGGGTGAAAATACTTGCTCTGTCTGTGCCACAGGCTTGTTATGAGGATTAAATGAAATCAAAGGACCTAGTGTGGTTAAACTCTTTGGAGAGCTGTAAAGTGTCAGATATTTATATTCCTGTGCATAAGCTTGGTCCTTAGCACTAGAGAAGAACCACCTGCTTTTATACATCTATAGGTATGCATTTGTTTGTTTGCTAGTGTGTTTTCATTTTAAAATCTAGAAAGGATTTAAGAGGCATGCACGTTTCTTAAGCTTGCTTGCAATCTCCCTGAGGCTTCAAGATAATTCCCTCATAGTCTAAAGGATGTCACTAAGCAGTTTATAACTGAGTGCCAGAGACGTGGTACAGACAGCAGGCTCCACAGGTGTTCGGGGGTGAGAAATGCCACTTGTGGCTGTGGTTGGGAATGGCCTTCAGAGGAGGTGGTGGGTAGTCCCATCACCTGATTTCGTACCTGTGTCAGAATTGTAAACTCTAGATTAGTGTTGTCTAATGGAAACATAATGTGAATCACATGTCATTTCAGATTTTTCTAGTAGCCACATTCAAAAAAGTTTTTTTTAAAAAGGTGCAATTAGTTTTATTAATATATTTTTATTTTACTCATTCTATCTAAAAATGATAGCATATTTAAATAGATAAAAAAGATATATGTGGTGTGTGTGTGTGTGTGTGTGTGTGTGTGTGTGTATAAACAGTGGAATACTAAGCCATAAAAAAGAAGGACATTTTGCATTTGCAACAACATAGATGGATTTGGAGGGCATTGTTCTAAGTGAAATAAGTCAGACAGAGAAAGGCAAATACTATATGATATCTCTTATATGTGGAATTTAAAAAATACAACAAACTAGTGAACATAACAAGAAAGTAGCAGGCTCATAGATATACAGAACAAACTAGTGGTTCCCAGTGGGGAGAGGCAATACAGGGGAGTAAGAGGTATGAACTATTAAGTATAAAATAAGCTACAAGGATATATTGTACAACATGGGGAATATGGCCAGCATTTTATAATAACTATAAATGGAGTATGACCTTTAAAAATTGTGAATCGCTGTGTTTTACCCCTGTAACTTATATATTGTACATCAACTATACTTCAATTAAAAATAAAATAAAATAGTATCATTTCAACATGTAATTGATATAAAAAGATAAGAAGATATTTACTTTTTTTTGATCCTGTTTTTGAAATCTGGTGTGTATTTTACCCTCACAACACATCTCAATTCTGACTAGCCGCAGTTCGAGGTTTCAGTACACACAGGGCTGCCAGGTGAGACAGCACAGCCCTAGATGGAACAGGAAGGACAGGTAACGGGAGAGGGAGAGAAGGAATAGACATGGGAATTTAGTGACCATCTGCTATGGACCAGGCAGGGTCAGGGCTGGTGTGAGGTGTTCAATGAACAAAAAAACCAAAATGTTTTTGTATAAAATTTTGATATTTTGTTCATCATGAATTTTTTGCGTTAATTTTGATTTCTTAAAAATTGCATTAAAATATTACTTATTTTAATTACTCAGTGTTTAGGCATCTCTTACATTTTGCACCCAAGGCAGATGCCTCACTTCCCTCACCCTAGTCCCAGCCCTAGCTCCAGGCACTTCCTGCCAGTTTTGCTAATACCCCATTAGGGGCACTGAACCAGGTTGAACTGGATATCAAAAACAGGAGTGAGTGTTCACAGCAGCACTATTTACAATAGCCAAGACATGGAAGCAACCTAAATGTCCATCAACAGATGACTGGACAAAGAAGTTGTGGTATATATAATGCAATACTACTCAGCCATAAAAAAGAATGAAATAATGCCATTTGCAGCAACATGGATGGACTTAGAGATGATCATATAAGTCAGACAGAAAGACAAATATCATATGGTATTACTTGTATGTGGAACCTGAAAAATATACAAATGGACTTACCTGCAAAACAGAAAGAGACTCACAGACATAGAAAACAAACTTATGATTACCAAAGGGGACAGAGGGTGGGGAGGGACAAATTAGGAGTTTGGGATTAGCAGATACAAACTACTATAGGTCAAATAGATAAACAACAAGGTCCTACTGTATAGCACAGGGAACTATATTTCAGTATCCTATAATAAATCATAATGCAAAAGAATATGAAAAAGAATATATGTATGTAAAACTGAATCACTTTGCTGTACGCCAGAAACTAACACAACATTGTAAACCAACTATCCTCCAATAAAAGATTAAAAGAAAAAAGAGTGAACTCCTCTAATTTACTAGATCTTGGGCATTCATTTTGTTAAATGAATTTTCAACTGAATTCACATTTGAAAAAAAAAAAGACATTGGTAAACATACTGAATTCAAGTTGAGTCTATGAACTGAAACATTTGAAAATATTTCAGAACCAAACCGTAGCCCAAGAGAGAATTCATTTGTTTTGATTCCCTGGTCAAGGTGACTCTTGACCATTGCATTTCCCAAATTATGGGGGAAGAATGCAAACAACAGTGTTTGTTTTTTTTGTTAATTGAAGTAGAGTCAGTTTACAATGCTATGTCAATTTCTGGTGTACAGCATAATGTTTCAATCATACATACCTGTGTTTTTAAATGAGACATACATACTATATTCATTTTCATTATATGTTACTACAGATACTGTATGTTGTTCCCTGTGCTATACAATGTAAACTTCTTTATCTATTTTATATATAGCAGTCAGTAGCTGCAAATTTTGAACTTCCAATTTTACAAACGACAGTTTTTTGACTCTGAGGGCTTATTTCCTTCCTGCATTATGGCTTAAATCTCCAGGATTTAAGCGGTCAGTATCTGCAGTCTCTCTGCATAAGGGTTATATTGGGAGTGTTATACTGAAAATAACTTTGATGCTAAAAAAGGAAAAGTATTACTTAGTAAAGTGGTGCGTATTTTAAAAAAAAAATCCTTTTCTTTTAGGGAACTCAGGAACAAAGCAGATATTCAATTTGGAGATAATGGAACAACAATATCTGCTGTTAGCAACAAGGCCTATGTTTTTGAACGAGCCAAGTCTGTTGGAGACCCTAAAATTGACTTACTTAGAACATTAAATATTCCTGCATTGGTAAGTAGGCACGTTAAGTCTCATTATTAGAAGAAAGGAAAAAGGTAAGGCCATTATAGTTTTACTTTTAGACACTATTAAGTTATATAAAAATATATATATTAAAATTATATATGTATTATTTCCCCCTCCCTTCTTTAAAGTTCATCTTTAACTTTTTTTGAAGTCTTTCAATGTGGTCTTTTCAGATGATGACAAAACACAAATTTTAGAATTTTTTTCACAGTTTCTTCCTATGTGTTCAGGATTAGCACTTGAGCAAATAATTTTGTCTCTAGGATTTTGGAGGGTAGCTGATAATTTAAAAAATATTTGCCCCTTGTTTTGATTCAGAAACACTAGCAATGGAGTTTATCTCCCACTTCTTAATTTAGCTTTCTTTCTTGGGTTTTTTTAAATTCTCAAACTATATATTGAATTTCTTCCTCCTTTCCAAATAGCAGAGACTGGGCTGTTGATTACAGCCTAGCATGATTTCACTGAACTGTTTATAATGGCATTTCCAGCTAATAAAAATACATGAGACCCAGAAAACTTCTACTCATCTGCACCAGTCCCCTCTGAGGCCACCACTCTAACTCCTAGGTGACCACTACATATGCAGCAGGACACTTACAGTGGACCCAAGACCTAGAAAATATTAGATCCCAGATCTGATCCTGCCCAGCTGCCTAGTGGAGCAGTTTCTGAGGGCCCAGCCTCTGGCCCTGATCAGGGGGAAGATGCCGCCACCTTGTGGCTAAAGATGCCAAGGTATTTGCAATAGTTTTTCCCTTCAGCAGTGTCAGGAAAACGAGTTGCAAGTGGGGATGCTAAGGTCACGCTTACAAAATTTAATACTGAGAAAGAACAATATCTGAAGAGTCTTATTTTTCACACACAGCCAGAAACGAGCTCACTGGCTGATTTTTCAGCTATTTGATCTCAGTATTTGCATTTAAGTTTGCATCCCCCCTTTGCTGAAGAGGCAGTGGGAGAGTGGGGTGGGGTCGCTGCTGTCTGAATTTGCCTGTGCTCCACAGACGGCCATGGAATGGGCCCGGCTCCCGCTCCTCCGCGAGGTCATCGAAGCCTTGTTGAAGGCCTATCAGCAGAAGCTCTTTGTGACACGCACGGTCCATGAATTGCTCTGGGGCTACAAAGATGAGATCTTATCCCTCATCAACGTTTTCAAACCCGATATCTCTCCCTATTTTGGCCTGTTCTATGGGGTAAGTTGATTTTTCTTTTCAGAGATTCTTTGTTCAGCTGAGGTGGGGGGAACCCCAAGCCAGATTTTAGTTTCACTTTGAGTTTCTTCTAGGAAAAGACCAAAATTGCCTGTAATTCTGGACGTCTGGTAGAGTACGTGAAAAATAAGAAAGTATTTTAGTAAGGGGGAAAACCTTCTCCCACAATTTCAACATGCTACCAGCACTGACTTTGATTGAGTGTAGCTATGAAAAAATACAGACTGGCTGTGTCATTACTCGGGTGCAGTGTTTCAAAGTATCATAAATTTCAGTGGTCAATGCCAAGTCTTATTTTGATGACTATGGATCAGCCGGGCAGAGGCAAATAAGAAACTAAACAGGGATGTGGTAGTCTATTATGGATGGGAGCTAAATATTAGATTTGAGACATCTCATACTGAAAGAGGCTGGATAATTTGAAACTCTGTGCATCCCTCATGTATGATTTCTTATAAGTGGAATTTTGTATCATTCCTGGCAGATTTTATTTACTTTGGTTTGAAACCAAAAATATCAGCATTCAGGTAATTATTCAAAATATATGTTATTGCTGCCTGAATATCACATGAATTTAAAAGTAATTAAAAAAAACTATACCCCCCCAAAAAAAACTTGAGTAAAATGAATAATTGGTAGTTTGGTAAATGACAAACTTAAACTCAGAAAGAGAGGATACATTCAGGGCAGGATATGGAATTGTGATGTGTTTCCTCATCTTTATATTAGTTGTTATTCTCTGGCTCTAACTACTCAAGAATCTCACCCTCACCACATAAGCTCTTAGCATTTCAGTTCCTAAATGGCAAATGGTGATAATACTGCCCCTGTACCTTCAAGAATATACAAAACTTAGAAACCATCCAAACAAAATGGTAAACAACTTTTAATATTATCTTCACAAGAGGTGCAAAGACTTAGCATCAGAGGGCCTAGATTTGTGTTCTGACTTTTTCATTTAATAGCTATGTGACTTTTCTAAACCTCACTTTCATTTGTCACTTGAGACTTAAAATATCCACACTTCAAACACTGTTTTGAACGACTAAGAAAGTCCACAAATGTACTTTGCAAACTATAAATTGTTACACACATTCCAGGAACCATTATTCGTTTTCCCCTCCATAAATGGCTCAAAAAATGACCCTGAATTAATGTGAATGGTATGTGTTTCCATTTTGTAGTCCAATAAACTCTCTGTAGTGTTGTTGGCAAAAGGCAAAGGTGTTTTTGGTTTGGTTTTTCATGTGCTCTGGCCAAATCCTAACTCTAGCCCGCAGCCCAGAAGTTCACACTTATCCTGTTATTCACTCAAACTGGGACAGGCTGTGGGGTTTTGCGCCTTCACTGGCATCACCTGCTGTGCACCTGCCTGAGCCCTGCCTCTAATCTTTCCTTAATCCTAGTGGCATTCTGCCACATTCCCCTCTGATTCCGTGTGTTCCTGTTCCACCTGCTCCACTGCACGTTGTGATGAAAAAAGAAAACCTTAGTTAATGCCATCAAACACTTTTCTTCAAAGACTTTAATGATGAAACAGCCAAACAATTAATGGGGCGGGACAGGATGTGAGAGTGACTAGGATGAGGTAATACAGACAGTGTGTTGTCACAGAGCTCCTGGGAAAAAGGGACCTGGTTGAGTATCAGATGCTGCTATTCGCATGTTGGAAAGTCAGTCAACATTTCTGTACCTGTTGATTTTAGGGGCCCTCTATTCCACTTGGCATAAGAGAGTTCAAGCACCTCCCAGTGAGTGTGGTTCTCGGATGTATATAGTTATAGTGGCTGTGAAGTATCTTTGAGGGGTCAGCCAGTGCAGCCCGTCCTGCTGGGAGAATGGATTATGCTTGTCTTATGCTAGTGGTGTGACTGCTGTAGTCTTATTCTCAGGACATTTCTCAACCTCTTGCAGTAATACATTCCTTATTTCCAACCCTACTGCAAGAACACGAAACCTATTTATTCCTACTTGTCTGCAAATAACAAAAGTTCTAATAGTAACAGGGACGCATTCACATTCAGAGTCTGACATTTGGGCTGATAACAGCTGAGGAGACCTCTTTTTGAGTTACTCTGAAATATTTAAATGCCTACCACTTAGCTTAACCCACATCTGAGTTAAGCAGAGGACTTCAAGAAGCAACACACATGCTTTGCTGCACTTAAAGAGAAGTCCTCTCTCGTGTCTTAAAGTCACGTAAAATTTCCTATATGGAAAACACAACGTGACCCTTACGTATGTGGACCACGTTTGATATATTGATATAGTTGCTGAAATAATGTGAAGTGACAAAAAAAAGAACCCAAGTAGGCAAAAAAATTGAAAAGAGAATTCACAGAGTATATGAATGTTTTTTAAGGCAAGTGGCTGAATGAAAAAACAAGTGCAGCCTCAATGAGTACAGAAAAGCAAAAAGAGATAAGAAGCCCTTTTTTTTGTTGATCCAATAAGCAGTGTTTAACGAAAGGCATTTGAGGAATGTAAGCTTATTCATCTTGCTCCTTCCACTGGATGACCTTGAACATATTATAATATGTATCAAAAGTTTAAAAAATGTTCATGTTCTTTTATCTGATAATTTCACTTTTAGTGGTCTATTTAGAAATTAAAAGTACAGAAAGGATTTTTAGTCGTAAAGATATTTATCCATTATTTATAGTAGGAAAAAATTCAAAAGTAAATATTCAATAATAAGGAAATGGTTAAGTAAATTATTTCCACATAATATTACAGAGTCATTAAATTAGGCCTACAAAGAACTTTTGTTAACACTGGAAATATGTTACACACATAAGAAACTATATATATGTGTGTGTGTATATATGTATATACACAATTGTATATGTGTATAAAAATTGTGTATAGCATATACTATATATTATATTATATATATCTTAGTTCTGTAAACAAATTTTTTATAGAAAAATGACTAAAAGGAAACAGACCAAAATACTAAAAAAAAAACCATGTATTTTGCTTCTTGAAGTCTTCCACTTAACTCAGATGTGAGCTAGGCCAAGTGGTTAAGCATTTAAATGTTTCAGAGTAACCCATGCTATTTCCTCAAAATCAAAGCTTCTTCCTCAGG